CCCCCATGTCGTTCCAAACCCGTAAAAGCTTCGTTCATCTTCAGAACACAATTTAAGATATTTTGGATGAAAACCGGGAGGCTTGTGACTGTCACATTGACTGCTAAGTAAATTACACTGTCAAGGTCCAGAAAAGTATGAAAAGCATCGTCAGAATAGTCCATCTGCCATCAGTGGTTCAACCATAACGTTATGAAGCGACGAGAATACTTTTTGTATGCGAAGAAAACAAAAATAACGACTTTATTCAACAATTTGTCTCCTCTGTGTCTCTCCGCATCACTGTAGCGCCATTTTGGAGAATATCCTCAGAACGCAAGCAGCGTACGCTATTCTGTGTCAGCCGTGCTGCACAGATGTGCTGTTTTCGTTTAAATCGAAGCGTAAATACATGTAGAAAACATATCCTTGTGTCGCGGCTGACACAAAATAGCGTACGCTGCTTGCGTTCAGCAGATATTCTCTAAAATGGCGCTACAGTGATGCGGAGAGACACAGAGGAGACAAATTGTTGAATAAAGTCATTATTTTTGTTTTCTTCGCGTACAAAAAGTATTCTCGTCGCTTCATAGCGGTTTTCATCCAAAATATCTTAAATTGTGTTCCGAAGATGAACAAAGCTTTTACGGGTTTGGAACGACATGGGGGGTAAGTGATTAATGACAAAATTTTCATTTTGGGGTGGAGTATCCCTTTAAGGTAGTAGTTTAAAATTCCCATACAACCAGTGTGTTGCAAGTTAGCTAACATGCAGGCTGGTTAGTGTAGGCATTTTCAGGTTTAGTTTAGACCAATTGAATTGGCTTCTAAGCAATAAATATCTGTTGTAAATGAAGCTGATTTCATATGGTTTCCCTGTTGCAGAAGAGGATACATCCCAGACTGATCATCCAGCAGAGCTGAAAACTGACTGTCAACAGACAGAGCGCATCTGCCCTCTCTGTAGGGAGTGGTTTGACACAAGGACTGGGCTGTCCAACCATGTACGAGGCCATCTGAAGCGACTGGGCAAACCCTCTTCCACTGTGTCTAAATCTCCAGTGATCATTTTGAAAGAATTGATGCGTGACAAGAAAGAGTTTCAGATGAAGCTACAGGTTCTTGAGAAGAAGTGCCGCGCCACCAATTCTTTCCATCCTATTAGGTTGAGTAACGGATTAACCTTTGCATCTACTGTCAAACGGCAGAAAGATGATAGGGAGGAAAAGAAAAGGATAGACATTAGTAAAGGCTCGCCACCAAGTGATCTGATTGGAATTTTGAAGAAAAGAAGAGCTCATGAAGAGACCAAAGCTAAGCACCCATCCCACACGGCGAGAAAGGCTATCCTTTTATCTTCAGGCAGAGACTGTGGCATGGAGATACAACCTTTCAAAGCAGTGCCAAATTCTCTAGCAGGTAATATTTAATTGAAGGGATGGTTCACCGTTAGTGCGGGGCAACGATTAATCGCATCCAAAATAAAAGTTTTGTGTACATAATATATGTGTGTTTTGTGTATATTTATTATGTATATGTGACCCTGGACCACAAAACCAGTCATAAGTGTCAATTGGGTGAAATTGAGATTTATACATCATCTGAAAGATGCTTTCCATTGATGTATGGTTTGTTAGGATATGACAATATTTGACCGAGATACAACTATTTGAAAATCTGGAATCGGAGGGTCCAAAAAAATCTAAATATTGAGAAAATCATCCAAATGAAGTTCTTAGCAATGCATATTACTTATCAAAAATTAAGTTTTGATATATTTACAATGGGAAATTTACAAAATATCTTCATGGAACATGATCTTTACTTAATATCCTAATGATTTTTGGTGTAAAAGAAACATAGATAATTTTGACTCATACAATGTATTATTGGCTATTGCTACCAATATACCCCAGCGACTTAAGTTTTGTGGTCCAGAGTCACAAATATAAATACACACACATGCATGTATATATTTAAGAAAAATATGCTGTTTATATATTAAATATTTATATATAATATAAATGATATGAATATAAATATATACATGTAAATATTTTCAAAATATATACTGTATGTGTGTGTCTTTATATATGCATAATAAATATACACAGTACACACGCATATATTATATAAACAAAAACTTTTATTTTGGATGCGATTAATCACGATTCATCTTTGCACAGCACTATTTACCATACCCATATGCTTCAAAAATGCAGAAAAATAACAAATATACATGTTTTGAACAACATGAGGGAGTTAATAATGACAGAATAATTTTTTGAGGGGAACTATCTATTGAAATAACATGAAAAGATTAATAAACCCTCATATCTAGCAAATAATTGATGTTTCAAATGTAATTTTATTTTATATTTTGGCTATGGATCACATTTTTGAGTTTCTCAGAAAAAGATGTCAACATATTGGGGAAAATTCTATGCTGATAAATGGGAGACTACAACAAATATAATTTGTCCATTTATATTTGGTCAAATAGCAAAAGAAAAAAATCGACAATAGTTTTTCCACGACTATCCAAAACAGAAAAAAATATATACAGATTGATTACAGCTTGAAGAGACAAAGATCAGATTTACTGTTAATTTACTGTTAGCAATGTTGTAGTTTAGCACAAAGTATAGTCTTTGAAATCCTTTAAAATAATATATTTTTAAACGATAATAGTTTTAGAAATGTACAATAATTAAAATTTTAAAAAGTAAAAAAAAACTATAATAGTCTTAGAAGTGTGCAGTGATTTAAATCATTTTTTAAAAACTGTAATTATGATTTAATAACTAGAAATTTTGTCAATTTTGTCATCACAGTCTGAAAAGGATCCATAGCCATAAATTTCAGTCTACTATAGAAACATGCCTCTGTATGTCTATATCTGTATCTATATTTGTATCTAGATAGATAGATATATCTATATTTGTAGATAGATTATTATACATTAACATTTTATATTAATTCATTAATATAAATGTATAAATGTGACCTGTATTATAGTATCTATGATGACTGTAAGTGTTTAATTTTATATGTTGTGTTTCTGTTACAGAGAAAAGTGAACTCAATAGAAAAGTGTGTGTGCACTGTAATACCACATTCCACAGTGGTGTTAGTCTCTCCAATCATTTGAGGGCATATGCACATAGAAAGAAAAAAGCTCTTCTGGACGGAACTAGTATGTGTATTTCTTTCCTCCTGTGTTAATGCATTTTGTACTTGCGTTTGACTTCCTGTTTATGAAAGATGCTGCACCTCACTGTCACTTTGATCCACTGAAGAATGCATGTCACATGCTCACTGCCTAAACTTTGCTTTGACTGTGCCAATTTCTCATAACAAGTAACTTAAAAAAAAATAAAAAAAAACAAGTATAATTGTTTTTGATAATCTGATTCAGATGCTTTTGGTAGCAGACATTTATACTAACACCTGATGGTTTTTCAGATCATAGTTGCTGCATGATGCCATCGTAGAAGTATTGTTATAATGATATTTTATTTATTCATACTCAACTGTCCAATAATAGAGGGTTACTGAGATCAAGTGAGTATTATTTGGCTGGTCATGTGATCTCAATTTGGCGGCTAGTTGTTCACCACAAGGGAAGTGATATTTACATTACATTAGTTTTGAAAGGTATGGAACATGGTGCACTTTTGGATTAACCCTTTCGCACGTGAGTTTAAAATATTCTAGCTGAGC